CGCGCGCGGCGCGCTCGGCTTCCGCGGCGGCGCGGGCGGCGCGGCGCGCGTCCTGCGCCGCCCTCTCCTCGTCCTCCAACGTATCTTCCACCAATACGCCGCCCACGCGCGCGGCGACGTGCTGCGCGGCCGCGCGCAGCTTGCGCGCGCGCGCGGAGCCCTCCGCCTCTGAAAACACGAGGCGGCCGTCGGGGGTCTTCACGGGCAGACCCTTGGAGGGCTCGCCGTGCTCCTGGGGGGGCGGGCGGTACAGGGAAAAAAACGAAAACAGCTTCAGATGCTTTGGAAGCCGTGAATCGGAGGGCAGCGGCCGCCGCGGAGCGGGGGCGGGCCGTTGGAGGGGTTTTCAGAGCGGCGGGCGGGCGGGCGGCGGGCGCCCGCTCCCAAGCCGGCGCGGCGCCCGTGGTGTGCAGGGCGTGACGGCGCGCCCCGCTGCACCCACCTGCTCCCGCGCCCTCGGCCGCCGCTCATATTCCTCCTCCCCTTGATCCTCGCCCGCCTTCTCGCGCCGCCCCCCCTCCCCATCAGCGGCCGCGCCATTGCCCCCGCCAGCCGCGGCGGCGGCGGCGGCGGCGGCGGCCTCCTCGGCGGCCGCCTTGCGCGCGGCGGCCGCGACGCCGGCCTTTTGCTTGTCTTTGACCGACCTGCGGTGGTCGCAACATCAACATCGATTACCACATTACAGCGAGCGCAGCAAATGCCGGTGGCGTGAGAACGCCTCTGAAAAGGAACCGCCAACCCCGGCTCGGCCCGGCCGCGTGCGTCGCGAAGCGGGGCAGCTGCAGGCCGTCTGTTGTCTGCGCCCCCTGCCGCAGACACAGCACGACCCCCTGGGTCCAGCCATGTCCCGCCGACCGGCTGCCCAGGATCTTTTGGCTTGCCCCTGGATCCCTCGTTTATTAAATTACCTGTCCAGCGCTTGGGCATCCAGGTTTTCCAGAAAACCTATGCCCCGCGCGTGCTGCCGCACAAACCGCACGTCCTCATCGCTGAGCTCCACCTCCGACTCGGAGCCGCTGCCGCCGCCCCCGCTGCCGTCGGCGTCGCTGTCTTCGGCGCCGCGCGGGAGGGGGGCGTCCTGCAGCTGCGAGGGCTGCGTGGGGATGCGGGCGTGGGGGAGGGGTCGGGTGGCAGGCGGGCCGCGTGTCGGGTGATGCGCTTGGCCGGTGATTGCCTGCAGCGACGCAGCAGGAGGATTGCAGCGGCGGCGGCAGGGGCGGCGGATCGCGCACCTTCTTCTGTTTCTTCGCCTTGTGTTTTGGTTTGTGTTTATTTCCATCAGACGCAGGCTTTAATCGCTTCTTCCCCATGGCGGCTGCGCTGTATACTGTACGTCCTTGCCGTCGATGCGCTTGATCTGCGACGGCGCTGAAGTTTGTATTACATCAAGGAATTCGACTTGAGACAAATGCGCAAATTAACATCGATGCAAGCCACCATGTTACTGTCGAACGACCGTCGAGCCGCTCACACCGGTGACATGGACGTCGGTGTGTGCGGCGGCGTCCGGTAACGCAGCACCGGCCAGCAGCCACCTCAACCAACCAAGGGCTTGAACAACCAAGGGCTTGAACCTGGTAAGTTGTTCTCGACGTATCACCTCCATGAAAACCAACAACCCACAGTGTGGTGGCTTCGGGCGCAGCTGCGCGCCCTTGACCCCCACAGCTCAAATTCGCCAGAGATTACAGTGCTTGCTGGACTTGGACATTTGGCAGCAGCGCCTGACACCCCCTTGCAGGCTAGCTCGGTCGTCAGCCCCGCAAACGCATCGGCCCCGCTGTGTTGGCCTGTCCCTTGGGCTGCGTGCTAGTCTTTTCTCAGTCTGGCTGCAAAGGCGTCACTCTCGCAAAAGCGTCTCACCCCCTTGACCGCGAAGCACTACTGGATGGCCTCGGCTCCCGAGGTTGGTTGCTTGGGACCTCGGAAACGATGACACCAAACGCTCCCTGCAGGAGGCGTGCTTCCCCCTGTACCAGGGGTTGGTCTGACCTCAGTCCTGACTGAGGTTGACCATCCGAGCTAGCGAGCATCAAGCTGCGCTTCACCGCCAATCGCTGACCGGGAGGCGGTGGCTTCGCTGGCAAGGGGATGTTTCACTGCTGACAGAGAGCACCCTGGGCCCCGCCGGTCATCTACCTAACAGCATGCATCCGTCCCTACCACTACCAGCAGAGAGATGCTCGAACCTCTGGAGCAAAGAGGTTTTTCATTTGGTGCTGCAGCCATACTCCCCTGCGTGTCGCGCCGCAACCTGATTGTGCTGCTGGCCGCCCTGCAGCACCCAGCCCTCTGCTGCACGCCGGGGCCAGCTGGGATACAGCAATGGCACCTGTCCCTGTACGCCGTTGTCAGCCGCTTCAGTGATGACGGCTTTGTCGGTTTGACCGCCGATTCAAGCCAGCTGCTGGCTCTGGGACAACATTTCAGGGCTCCCGTCTGAGCCAAGCAGCCGGGAATTTGGAATGGCGGACCAGTGGTTTGTCGCTGAGCATGCTCAATTGCGCAGTTGTGCAGTGGTCCTGCCTCGACCAGCCCAGCCCCGTTCTCAACATTCATGTCTGGTCCCACCTGTTCTCCCGGGGCCTTCTAGCAAACACTTTGACTTCCCGCGGTTCCCGTTTCCGCGGGCAATCGGCACACAGTGCGCACAGCCTATGGCCCACACCACTCTTGCTTACGTTTCAATTGCCAGCACATCAATTGCTGCCTAACACAGGTATTTGTGGTGAAAACAAGAGGCTGGGCCACTGCTGATACACAGCTGACTGCGCCGGGTGGCCTAGCTTCAGGCGGCTGCTCAAGCAATCTGCCGTCATCCACGGCCAGGCAGCATCATCCACGGCCGATTGCGTGCGTGCTCTATTCAGAGCTGCGGCCAGGGGTTGTTCCCACCTGCTCGGTCACCAAATCAGCCGATTGACGATGTGGGCCGCAGCGGATATGGTACGTATATATCGGCCCAAGACCATTTGTCACATGGCTGGTCATGGGCTCCAGTGTCAAGCGTCACTACTGTATGCCAGACGTGACGCCTGAGATGACGCCTAAAGTTGTGACATTCCTTAGTTGGTGAAGAGGCACGATTGATGCTCCCTGCAAGCTTTAGGGCATACAGACTACTAGAAACACAGCGATGCACGACAAGTGTTCTTACTAAAGCCCTGCCTTTAGGCAATCAGGGCAGGCGCTAGCCACACATACGCGGCCCCTCAAAGGTATATGGATTCATTGGTGGTACCCTGCAGCCACCGACACCGCCCCTCCTTTCGCCACTGATTCGCCCAACGGGCTGACACGCAACACGCGCATAGTAATACGGCATAAGTACTGGGCGACGCTAGTTTTGTGATATGACCAGGCGCCGTGTCGGTCAGCGACACGTGGCAGGAGGCTACATGACCAGTGCGACAGTCGCATTCAGTGCCGGCCGGCAGCCTGGATTACGGGGTCACCGCTCAAAACAATAACCGGCTGCAGCCGCTCTCAGCTGCCAGCAGTCCAGTCCCTTTTGAAACTCCTATCGCCCCCATGGCAACATTTTATGCGAGTGCTACGGCGGGGCCTCCTCGCACACGCGCGCGGCCGCACCTCCGCAGGGCCGCCGAGGCAGCCGGAGGACCTTACCTGCTCGCTCCGCCGCCGCGCGCGCAGCAGCTGCAGCCTGCCGCGCAGCCTGTCGCGCAGCGGCAGCCTCGATGCTTCGACAAGGTCGGGGACGCCGCGTGGCCGCCGTCTCTGTTGGCCAGTTGTCCTTCAGTATGGCGGGGGCATCATGGGCGGCCCCCCACCGTGCATCGCTGGGTGCCCCTGCATCTGCTGCATCTGCTGCAAGTACTGCATGTACTGCTGCTGCTGTTGCTGCATGGCCATCTGCATCTGCTGCTGCTGCCAGTGCATGTACTGCTCCGGCCCCATTCCCATCGGCGGCGGCGCGCCGGCAAACGGCGGCGCGGTGCCAGGGAACTGTCCGGGGTACGCAGGCTGCCCGCCCGCGCCGGGCTGCACGCCCGCAAGGCCTGGCTGCTGCTGCTGCTGCTGCTGCTGCTGCTGCTGCTGCTGCTGCTGCTGCTGCTGCGGCTGCTGCGCGCTGGTGCGCAGCTGCTCCTCAAGCCAGGGGCGGTACTGCAGCCAGTACTGCTCATCGGGCAGCACGGGCTGGCCAGCGGCGGCAGCCGCATTCTGATGGTATGCCATCCTGCAAGAGAGGGGCCAGGGTAGGACGCCAGAGTTTGGGCGACCAGAAGCCAAGATAAGGGGGTGTTGAGGCGGCGAGAGGACGCAAGGGGGCAAGCATGGCCTTGAAATCGGGATGTCGCATTCGGTTGCAGGCGACCCATGCAGGGAATCAGGCACGCAGTTGCAAGCTGGTGAGCAGGCGAGATGGAGCGGCGCACGCCTGCGCCCAATACGCACCACTCGGCAAACTGGGCGTGGTGAGAGCGGTACAGGGGGTCGGCGAGCATGGCTTGCACCGCGCCTGGCGCCGCCGCCGCCGCCGCCGCCGCCGGCACGGCCTGCTGCTGCTGCCCTGGCCCCTGCTGCTGCTGTTGCTGCAGCGGCTGCTGCTGCAGCGGCTGTTGCTGCAGCGGCTGCTGCGCGGCGGCAGCTGCGCTCGGCGCGGAAGGCGCTGGGTAGCTGTACTGCTGAGGTGCTGCCTGCGACGCCACCTCGGGCTGCGGCTGCTGCGGGGCTGACGAGGCGGGGACTTGGGGCGGCTGGCCGCTGGCGGCCGGGGCGGGCGCGCCGGCCAGGGTTGCGCGGTTGCGCCGCGGGTCTGACGGCTGGCCGGCACCTGCAAGCTGGGCGCTTGCAGGCTGCGGCCGCTGCTGCGGCAGCTGTTGCTGCTGTTGTTGGACCTGCTGCGGGACCTGCAGCTGCTGCTGTTGCTGCTGCAGCAGCTGCTGCTGCGCCTGCTGCTGCTGCTGCTGCTGCTGCTGCTGCTCATGCCACGGCTGCTGCTCTTGCTGCTGCTGCCGCCAGGGCTGCTGCTGTTGTGCCAGCAGCTGCTGCTGCTGCTGCTGCTGCTGCTGCGCAAGCAGCTGCTGCTGTGCCGCCTGCTGCTGCTGCAGCTGCTGCAGCTGCTGCTGCTGCTGCTGCTGCTGCTGCTGCTGCTGCTGCTGCTGCTGCTGCTGCTGCGGAAGTTGCTCTTGCTGGCGCGCCCCGCCCCCTGCCCGGTACACAGCATAAGGGTCCGGCGCGTGCGCCGCCCCACCCGGCGGCTGTGACGCCTGCTGCGCCTGCTGCACCCGGCCGTGCAGGACGGCCGCGGGCTGCGACTTGGCGATAGCATCTGACGGCACATGCTTAGGAGCCTGCGCAGGTCCTGAGAAGGGCTTCGCGGATGCAAGGCCAGGGAGCACGTAGGAGGAGGCGGCGCCCGCGTCGGTTGAAGGCGCGGGCGCCGGCGCCGGCGCCGGCGCTGGCGCAGCGCCGCCAGCCTGCTGCTGGGACCGCGGCTGCTGCGGTGGCGGTGGCTGCAACAGCGGCTGCGGCTGCGGCTGCTGAGCAACAGGCTGCTGTTGTTGGTGCCACGGCTGCTGCTGCTGCTGCTGCTGCTGCTGCTGCTGCTGCTGCTGCTGCTGCTGCTGCTGCTGCTGCCATTGCTGCTGAGGCTGAGGCTGAGATTGAGGCTGAGGCTGAGGTTGAGGCTGTTGCTGCCACTGCTGCTGTGGAGGGGCAACCTGCTGCTGCTGCGGCTGCTGCTGAGCTTGCTGGGCTTGCTGCACCCCCTGGCCCTGCCCCTGCCCCTGCTGCTGCTGCAGCATCTGCCCGCCCGCCATCGACGCCGCCGCTGCCGCCACTGCGGCAACCGGCACCACCATGTACTGGACGCCGTCAGACCCTATCATGATCTGAGGCGCCGCAGGCGCCGCCACAGGCGCAGGTGCGGGAGGGGCCGTCGCCGCGGCCGCCGCGGCCGCCGCGGCCGCCAGCGCCGCCACCGACTGAGGCTGGGAGGCAGGGAACCCCGCGCTCGCGCTTACGGCCAGGCCCGCGCCGAGCGTCGGCTGGTCGTAGGCTGCGGCCGCCGCGGCGGGCCGCGGGTCCTGCGGCGCCGCCGCGGCGTACGTGCTGAGCTGCAGCTGCTGGCCGGGCACCGGTGCGGACGCGGACGCGCTTGGGGCGCCGGCCGCGCCGGCGGCGCCGGCAAGCAGCTGGTGGCCCGCCAGGCCCAGCGAGTAAGGAAGCGACGCCGGCAGCGACAGCGGCCCCTGCTGCCCGTGCTGCTGAGCCACCTGCGGCTGCTGCTGCTGCAGCAGATGCGACGCAAAACCCGCCGCCGCGCCGGCGCCGGCGCCGCGAGAGTGGGACAGCGCCTCGACCTGGGCGCGCGTCAGCGCCGGCGGCGCGAGCGCCGGCGCGGGCGCGGGCGCGTGCTGCGCAGCACCGGCGCCGAGCCCGCCGCCCGCGGCGACCGAGACGCCCCCCACCACCTGCTGCTGCTGGTGCTGCCCATGCTGCTGCAGCGGCGGCTGCTGCCTGTCGGCGTGGAATTGGCGCCGGGGCTTCGGCGGGAAGAGGCGGTGGTCAGTGGAGCCCACAAACACGACATGGCAGTGCTCCACCAGCGGCACCACCAGCGACGCCGCCGAGCTGCAGCCCAGCTGCTCCAGGGGCAGTGGGTAGCCGAAGCGCGCCTGCGCGGCCGCGGGGCGGGGCGGGGAGGTGGGG